CGAGTTTTGTTTACGGAATTGAGCCCGGATTTCGAGGTCGATTTTCGAAGGCTTAAGAGACTATTTTTGGGAATCTGACATCATATTACGCTGGCCACACACGTTTGGGGTTAGTACGAGTGAAAATTGGAATTTCGGTCCGGGGGTGAGAAATTACGGTTTTGCCCCTGTGGGGCACCGAGGCCGGATTCGGAGGCCGTTTGAGGTTATTTTTTGCGGCCAATGTCATTTTGGGGTGGCCACGCACATTTAGAGTGGTTTTGGCCAAAAAGTGGAATATCGACAAAAATTGGAAAAATAATATTATTTTATTCCCGAAACCTTGCAGTCAGTTTTCAAGGACTTAAAAAGTGAATTTCGCGATTCCGACGCCATATTATGTTGGCCACGCACATATGGAACGCGTGTGTGCGAAAATTGGAATTTTGACCCGGGACCGAAAAATTACCAAAATGCCCTTGGACCCATTTTTGGTAATTCCAAATTTTGGATTTAATTAGGGGACTAACCAAGGTGAGTTAGGGCTAAACCAGGTCTGGTAAGCTTGGGTTAAGGATCAATGACCATTTTACCCCTAAATTATTGGATGAGAAGGAAGGATAGCCCTTGGATCAAGGGCAAAATTGTCCAATTGGCCTAGATCTTGATACTTGGACTCCACTAAGACCAAATTTGACCCATATTTGACCGTAGATCTCTCTCTCTCTCCATTCTCGCTGATCCGCCGAGAGCTCCCTCCCATTTCCTCTCTTCATCGCCATTTCTGTTCGCCGTGCACAATTCAGACGTCCCGGTACTGTTCACGCCGGAACAGACCAGCCGGAGCTTCTGGTCGCCACCAGCCACCATCCCGCACCACCAGCAACCATTTTCGCCCTTAAACAGCCACCACAGTCCCATTTCCAGCTCCGAACAGAGGAAAACAAGAAGAAATCGCCGTTCCCGTCGCCGCCGTGACCGCCGGCTTGCACCCGAACGCCGCCGTCGATCCTTACCGCGCGTTGGTGATCGACCGCCTGTTCCCGTTGTCCCGAGTCGCTAATAGGCGAGTATAAACCCCTAAACCCTTAATTAGTCTAATTGTGTCCTTAGGGGGTAATTAGGGGTTAATTAAGCTCATTTAGGACCTAATGATGTTTATTTGGGTGTAGGATGATTATGATAGGTCATTAGGGCTTAATGAGGTTATTTAAGTGTGGATTAGTGTTCAAAACAGCCCATGTTCTGGTACTGTTCACAAAGTACCGAAAATGTGCATATTTGTCTAAGTTTTGCACTAATTGAATTCAATGATTCAAGGCTTGAAATTAGACAATTCAAGTGTTAATTAAGCTCATTTGAGGCTTAATTATATGTATTTGGTGGTTGGATGTTTGGGGTAGGTGATTAGGCCTTAATGAGATGGTTTAAAGGTGGTTTAGTGCCTAAATGTTAATTTTTCCTGGCACTGTTCATTCAGTACCGAAAATGCCTAATTTGTGCCTAAGTTGAATATTCTAAGAATAATGGACTAATGACAAGAATTTAGGCATTTTTAGGGGATGATTAGGACTTGTATAAATCCTATTGAATGACCCCGAAGTGGTGAGAACAACTATTGAGATGGATTTGCCCAGGGCGGGCCTTTAACGCATTGAACTACCTTGGAATGAACGTGCGAATGAATGTGGGATTCGTTGAACCAAAGTGGAAATATATTGAATGTGCCAAGGATGCGTTGAATTCGTTGATTTGGTGAATGATTGTGTTCGGCATGTTGGCTTAGGTATTATCGGTGTAGTCTGGACTGGATTAGGTAGTACCAGTGTGTAATTCGGACTGGATTGAGGATCGATCGTTGGAAATTAAGTCTAAGGAATTTAGTGGGATTATTAGAAATAATTATTGGACTAGCACAGATTAATCGGGGATTATGTGATTGGACTGCGGAGTATGCCCGAGTTGATTGACTGGTTGATTTCTGTACCCAATTGTTGGGAAATTGAGTAATGCCATGTCGCGTGACTGCGTGGCCGACTTGTGCGGAGTGTGATTGGCCATATGATGGCTTAATTGGATTATTGAATTGCACATTGTGGAATTGAGCCGCATGGTATTAATTGGCCAGTGAACGATTGTTGCGGCATGAAATTAACTGAATGCTTGAATTGTGCTGATGCTCATGTTACATTGTTTTGCATTTCATGGCACGCATAGTGAATGCCGGGAACGAGGCGTGTGATGAATTGTGCGAGAATGCGTGCCTGCCATGAGCATATGATTACCTAAATGCCCTGATGCGTGATACGCGGGGTGCAGATAATAATTGATTGTGTGTATGTGTGATCACAATTTCGCCCTGATGCGTGTTACGCGGGGTGTGCCGTCCTGATGCGTTTTACGCGGGACGATGCCCGGTACGTCCGGAAGACGACCAACCTGATGCGTTTTACGCGGGCTCTGGTTCTTGAGGAGATCGGTGTTGCGCCTGATGTGTTTTGACGCGGGCTAGAGACACTGGGCCAGTTGATGCGTTTTAACGCGGGCCACGAAGTGTTGTGATTAAATGAAGAGACCTGATGCGTTTTACGCGGGTCGTAATAAATGATAAATTGAGCAAGTGCCAAGGTGCCAGTGTGGGCTAGTGAGCCGAGGCATGAGTATGGTGTGACGATAGCATTGCATACATAAGAATGCATTGACCGGTTTGCGGGTGTGCGAGACTCGGTGATTGACACGCGTTATTACCATTATTAAGTATGAGCATACGTTTGACGTACGCGTGAACCGAGTGCTCGCGTATGTGACTTGATTTAAATCATGATTGTCAATAACCTGCAGGGTCAGCCAGGTAAGAGATTTGGGTCAGAGGGCCTAGGTCGGAGTTTATTTATAAATTAGTTGGTTATGTTGTTTTGTGCTGTCGGTCAGGAGATTGCATGTTAGCCTAGCCTAGGTTTAGGGGGTTATACTCGCTGAGATTCGTCTCACGGTTGTGTAAACCGAAACATTTTCAGACCCCCAGCCGTAGGATGCCGAGGACACCACCACTTTTTGGGATGCTGCATTTCATCCAGCAGTCGTTGAGCGTGCACCCCTGTGGAGACGGAGCAGATCGGAGAAGTGGCTGTTTGGTTATTCCTAGGAGTTGGTGTTTTATTTGAGTTATTGGGAGCACTGTAAAAAGAGTTTTAAAATAGTGATATAAGTATGTACATATTTTCTGCGTTGATCGTTGTTTATTGCTTGACTATCCTTAGTCTCATGCGATTCATTGTTTGGGTGTATATATTTATTTATATACGTTGCTTCCGTATGTGTTTGATCTCTGATTGGGCATTGGGTCGGCAATGCTTCCTGGGAGCGTTGCACCATAATCGACCGTCGACGGGATGTTGCGTTCCGGTAGAGTACGGGGCGTGACAGATTCTACATATAGGAAATTGCGTCTTGAATTTTTGCATATTTAGAAGAAATTCATATTTGCATGTCTGATTGTGCTTCTGTTTGCATCTTTTAAGCATATTGATAATTTTGCATATTAAGATAGGATTTCATATCTTATTTGCATCACGATAATTGCCATCTTATAGGAATACTAGGATTCTCTTCAATGAATATATTTCTGTAACACATCAAATTAGCTGCATTGCATAAATAGTGAATTTACATATATGCGTATTTCTTACCATTATTGTATATTTACTTGGTTTTTTTATGCTCTAAGTAGATAACAATAAAAGAGACTATATCTTACATGTTAGTAATTATATATGTGTTTAGGATAAAATTACATATTTCCATCTTTAAGAGTAGATTAATTTCCTTATATACACAATTTGAGAGTCACAAAAATACAAAGTTACCACTTTTACATTATAGACTTAGGATTTTATTCCATGGAAGATATTAGATAGATTTTCAATTGCATGTTTAGAAGCTCGTTTTGGGAAAATAATTTATATAGAGTGGGTTTTTGCATAGGATGTTACATCGTATTTTCTTTGATACATTGGTCTATTTAGAAAACTTGCATGAACTTTTAATTTACTTCTGCATTTTTTTGCTAGTTATTTATTACGTTTTTTTTGTATTCAATAAGTTTTTAAATGTTCGATTTATTACCGTAAATGCATGGACATTTAGATGCATGTCAAAAACAAAACTCGATCAAGATTGTATGAAAAATTTTCCTTAAGTATCAAGCTATGGACGTTAGTCTAATATAACATAACCAAATCTGACAACCCAATTCTCTGCTAAGCAAAGGTTAAGCGGTCCGCGCCTTATTGAGCTCCTAACCAGCCTAGTAAATAGGGTAGTGGCAACTCTAAAATAATCATGTATGAATTAGAGAAACCAAATTGCGATTGGTAGGCCTTGTGACAGTCCGTGCGAAGCGCAGGCGTTGCCTCATGAGAGGATTAATCTGTGCTCGCCCGACAATCCGTCAGCTCCCTCGTGGTTCACTTTAAGAGGGTCGTGACACATTTAATAAAAGGAAAATCGAATTGTTTAATCACAACTTTTTACTAATTTGAAATTCCTGCAAAACATAAAACCATCCTGAAAGTGCAGTCAAGATCACATATAACAAAGAGTGTCAAATTGAGAACTCGTTTCTTTAGATATCACTTATCCTAATGTTTTTATACTTAAACAAATTAATTTTCATTCTGTTCTTCCTACTTAGGACCCACACATACATGTCATAATATCTCCAACAAGTCAAAGCATGGAATGTCACATTACATGTAACGAGCTATTTTTACAACCAGTTTGTTGCAAAACTCCCAATCAATTCTATAACGCAATTCGCTGTCCTTTGTTTCTCGCCATATGTGCCATCTCTTTATCGATCTGTCACGGGTGATGTTCTCTTGGGTAAAGGTTTCGGCATAAGCAAACAAACTCCATGTGTATACAGATACATGTGCACATCACTTTGCGTCATTGCTGATGATGGTTTTTACGAACATTCCGCTTATATATACACAGAAACGCATGAGCTCATCACATTCTCTCACCACCAAAAAGAAATTAGTGGTAGACCGCAGTTACCTGTCAAATTTTCCTCCACGCCCTCCTTCCTCTAGCACCATCTCTCTCTTTCTCTCTCTCTCTCTCTCATCACGTGCGTGCGGTGGGGGGCGGGTGCGTGCAGCGGCAGGAGGGTGCGAGGCGGCTGTCTGTGGCGGCTGTCCATGGCTCAGGTAGAGGAGAAGAGAGAAGAGAACCATGTCCTTTTGGTTGCCTTCTCCTCTCAAGGCCATATCAACCCGATGTTAAGGCTTGCCAAGCGTCTCGCTGCCAAAGGCGTCCATGTCACCCTTGCCACCACCGAGATCGTCCGCCACCGCATTCTTAAGGCTGGTGCCGGTGCCACCGACCTTGTCACCGGTATCGAGCTCCTGTTCTTCTCCGACGGCCTAAGCCTTGACTACGACCGGAAGACCAACCTCGACGTCTACATGGACAGCCTAGGTAAACATGGGCCTGGCAATCTCTCGACTCTAATCAAAGAACGCTACACGAGTCCAAAGAAGCTCTTATGCCTAGTCACGAACCCTTTCGTGCCATGGGTCTCCGATGTAGCTGCCGAGTACGATGTCCCTTGTGCCATGTTGTGGATTCAACCGTGCGCGTTGTACGCGATATACTATCGCTTCTTCAATAAGCTCAGCGCCTTCCCGACTCTGACAGATCCTAATATAGTTGTGGAACTACCGGGTTTACCTTCAATGGAGACGGAGGATTTGCCGTCCTTTGTGCTTCCCAACAACCCATTTGGTAGCTTCCCCAAATTATTCTCTGAACTATTCCAAGGCATGGAGAAATTTAAATGGGTTTTAGGGAATTCTTTCTATGAGCTTGAGAAACATGTTGTAGACTCCATGTGCGAGCTTTATCCAATACGGCCGATCGGTCCACTAGTCCCTCCAACGTTGCTAGGCCAAGATCAAGAACTTGAGGATGCAAGTGTAGATATGTGGAAATCAGATGAGACTTGCATTGAATGGTTGACCCAGCAACCTCCTTGCTCAGTCATCTATGTGTCCTTTGGGAGCATCGTTGTGTTACCAGCCAAGCAAATGGAAGCGATAGCCAGGGCTCTAAAGAACGCTAAGCGCCCATTTCTTTGGGTGGTGAAGCCGCCTGAGTTCCCGACGCCCGATGGTGCGGGGCAACTTCCGTTAGGGTTTGTTGAAGAAACAAAAGACCAAGGTCAAGTCGTGCGTTGGTCTCCTCAAACTAGGGTTTTGTCGCACCCGGCTGTGGCATGTTTCATCACTCACTGTGGATGGAACTCCATGCTCGAGACTATTTGCTCCGGCATCCCTCTCATAGCCTACCCACAGTGGACTGACCAGCCGACCAACGCAAAGCTCATAGTCGATGTCTTTAAGATTGGCGTGAGGATCAAAAAAGGAGTTGATGGAAACATAAGCAGTGAAGTGATTGAGAAATGCATTGAAGAGGTCATGGTTGGGCCAATGGCTGAGCAATTGAGAAAAAATGCAACGGCACTAAAGGGCGAGGCTCAGAAGGCGGTGGCAGCAGGTGGATCATCCGATGAGAATATCCGGCTCTTCGTGGAGGAAATTACCAGCGATTCTCGCAAGAAAGATGACTCACCAAACGTGGTAAATTGGAGCCAGGAAGGTCATGGTAAGGTTAGTGATAAAGGTGTGTAGGGAGAAACGTGTTTGAGTTGGCTGGCAAGAGATTCATGGGTTGTCTTGTTCACATAAAAGTGATAATATTATTGTCCTCGAAGACAAGTATGATATGAAAGTTGTGGTGTTCCTGCGGTTGGAGAAATAAAGAGGACAATTCCAATAACTTCGTCTTCTCGGCATGATGTCCGTTGATTTTCTTGCTCGACGATTGAGAAATACCTTGTCCTCATTCGGAGGTTTGAAAGAAATGCAGTACACAGAACAGAATTGTTCTGTCAAGAGGTGTCTGAAGTCACTTTCCTGCGGCGATAATGCCATTAAGATACAATTTAGTCTCTCACAAAGTCTCTCAACATAAACACACGGAAACTAAAATAGCTTTTTGAACGAAAGAATATATCTAAATAAGAACAGCGAATCAATGTGTCTAGTAAACAGACACAATAATCGAATTGGACAGACCAGTTAACTTCCAACACATATGTTTGTCTAAAAAGCTAAAATTAATAAATGAGAAATTTTAAAATTGTTTAATCATAACTTTTCCTGAATTCTGAGTTTATGCAAGACAAATCAAGCCCAAGTCCAAATGTAATCAAGTTATTCAATGTGTAGTGTCCACTCGAGAGCCCATGCCTTTAAAGGGAAAATTGTCCAAAATAGGTACTAGGAATATGTAAAATAAGAAAGCACAGAATTGAAGCACAAAACGTAATCTTGAACAAACTTAAAAATCTGCAAATTGACACCGATTTCAATCTTAATCCCCTCAAAGAGAAACTTAAATATACATTCATACAATATGTTAAATTGTAAACCGAATTTAATTGATTAAAAGCGCCATACAACTTGAGTATGATCATGATGAAAACCATGACCAGTTCAAACTTTGCACCTAGACATATTATAGCTCTAGTAAAACATGCAAATCATGATGAACTTGAACTTATGCGTGTACCAATGTTCTAATTGCACTCTTGCTCAGCTTCCACCAGCAAAGGTTGATCTCTCCACCTTGATTTTGTTAAGAAATATTCCGAAAACATTGGAAAAATCCCCCAAAAAGATCGGTTAAATCATGAATTGATAAGATCATATCATTAAGTGGCTCGATTATTATGGAATAACAAATAAATTAATGTCAAAATTGATGACAAAAATTAACTGATAAACAACCTCAAGTGTTGATATTAAAATTATGGTTATTTGATGACTGATTAACATTAAATTCCACTCTTTCTCACCTTCCACGAGCAAAGGTTGATCTCTCTCTCTCCCTCTCTCTCTCTCTCTCTCTTCTCTCTCCATCTTCTTCTCCAACCTTCAACCATGGGGAAGGATCCCTCCCCTCATTCTGTTGATTTTGTTTAAGTTTTCCTATTCTTTTCTTCTTCTTTTTTCTCTCTTGATCTAGATCTAGGAGCTCTCTTCTCCCGATCTAGTTCTATATCCGAGGGTTTGGACTCTCCTTATTTAGTTATAGATCTAACAGCTATCGTCTCCCGATTTAGATATGGAAGTTTAATAATATTTTTCCAGATTCGATGCTCCTGTACTCTGTCCGTGTACAGGTCATCTGCCTCCAGTTTCAATGGTAATTGTATGAGCTCTTACGTCTCACTAACCTATGAGGATTTACTCTTACAAATGTCGAATCTGTGTTTGCTCAACCTGTTTTAGATGTCTTCGTAAGGTGATGGTATAAAGGAAGACGACCCTAGCATACACTACCAACTGACAATGCCATAGTTAATTAAGAAGGAATTTCCGGCGTATGCTCATCACTGACAATGATACAATATCCAATAATCGGTCATCAATTATTTTGTTTGATAGATCTGTTCTTATGGGACGAGTGTGTTTTAACCCTGATGGTGCTTTGTTGATCTTCCTTATTTTCGTTAGAGTGCAGTTAATACACCATCGATTGGAAGTCACGAGGGTCCTGCTCTAGTTTAAGGGTGAACCAAGATAAATCTTGTAGCTCAATTTCTCTTTCTCGCTTTTACTCTCTATTTCATTGTGTTTGTGCGCCTAATCCTAACAGTTTTCTGGATTTGACTTTGTTTTGTAGTATTATGAGCTTTGTTCTATTTTGATTTGCTTTGCTATGGAAGTCTATTTACTTCTCATATATCATTTGGAGTAATGAATACAAATTTTTTCAACAAAATAAAAAGATATATAAAAAATCGGTTTTCTTCCAAATTCAACATTCGCATCATCGGCTATGCATTCAAGTACTTTTTTGTTTTCTATGATGCTTTCATAAAAATGTCCAGTTTTCAAAAGTTGAATTATATTTAATGATGATATGTTAATGACATAATTCCAATAGATCTCTCTCTTCCATTACCAAAGGATGATCTCTCTCTAGAATTGCTCTCTTGCTCACCTTCCACCGGCAAAGTTGATCTTGATGGGAAAAATCCCGAATATATTGGGAATTTTCCCAACAGATTGGATAAATCATAAATTGACATGAGCATATAATTAAGTATCCCAATTATTATGAAAATAACAAAAAACAAATGTGCAAATGAAAGAAAAATTTACGGACTACTAATTTCGAGACTTGATTTAAGTCGTGAGATTAACAAAAGGGATTAGAGGGAGATATCGATTTTCTTCGAGATCTTTTTTTTTTGGTCTGTCTTCGAGATTCAATAGCGTCATCTTCTACACATTCGGGTGCTTTTAATTTTTTTTGATACTTTCACGAAAATGTTCAGTTTAAAAAATCTGAAATTTTTTGTTTAAAGATGATATATTAATGACATAATTCTAACACATGTCTCTCTTACCAGCAAAGGCTGATCTCTCTCTCTCTCTCTCTCTCTCTCTCTCTCTCTCTCTCTCTCTCTCTCTCTCTCTCTCTCTCTCTCTCTCTCTCTCTCTCTCTCTCTCTCTCTCTCTCTCTCACTCAATGACCCTTTATTAAGGTTTTGCCTTTCATTAAAAAATGGGTCTAAGACGAGCAACCTTAATATGTTTGGTCACAAGGAGTCACTCGGGACCAAATATCAATATAGTTAATCTCTAGAAATATTTTCTTGCAAACAAACATATTGATTGCCTAAAATTAGACTCGATCACTATAATCAACCTCTCTAGCGACCAAATTCGAAAAGATAATGACACAAACAATCCTTAAATTTTGGCCCAATATGCAATGTGGTCCTTAAGCTTTTAATTTGTTCAATGTGGTCCATCAACTTTAACCCAATGTGCAATGTGGTCCATGAACATTAGGCTAAAGTTGGAGAACTACATTGAACAAATTAAAAGTTGAGAGACCACATTACACATTGGGCCAAAGTTTAGGAACTGTTTGGGTTATTATCCCAATTCGAAAAGCCGATTGCTAGAAATCGCAGAGACGTTGCTTTCGAGTCACTCATGGTGACCGAATTTTCTATATTTAGTCACTAGAAATCAATTATTAGCAATTAAGTTTGGTTTTGGGCTATATTTGCCTTCACCCTTGGTTAAAGAAAATTACCAAGGGTGATTCTCACAAGAAAGACGATTCACCAAACGAGGGAAATTTGAGGCAAGAAGGTCAAGAAGATAAGGTTATGATAAAGGTATGTCGGGAGAAACGTGTTTGGGTTGGCTGATAAGAGATTCATGGGTTGTCTTGTTCACATAAAAGAGATAACATTATTGTCCTAGAAGACAAGTATGATATGAAAGTTGTGGTGTTCCTGCGGTTGGAGAAATAAAGAGGACAATTCCAATAACTTCGTCTTCTCGAAATGATGTCTTTGATTCTCTTGCTCGACGATTGAGAAATACCTTGTCCTCATTCGGAGGTTTGAAAGAAATGTAGTACACAGAACAGAATTGTTCTGTCAAGAGGTGTCTGAAGTCACTTTCCTGTGGCGATAGTGCCCTTGAGATACAATTTAGTCCTCGAACTGTCAACATAAACACACTGGAAACTAAAATAGCTTTTGAATGAAAGAATATTTATATAAGAACAACGAATCAATGTGTGTCTCGTGAACAGGCACAATCATCAAATTAGACAAAGCAGTTAACTTCCAACATATATGTTTGTCTAAAATATGTTTATCTAAATAAGCTAACATTAAGAAATAAGAAACTTCGAAATTGTTTAATCATAATTTTTCATGAATTCTGAGTTTATGCAAGACAAATTAAGCCCAAGACCAAATATAATCAAGTTAGAGAAAAGAAATTAGAGAGAGGGATCGGTTTTCTTCCAAATTCAACAATGGCATCATCTGCTATGCATTCAGGTAAATATGTTCAGTTTTCAAGAGTTGAAATCTTATGTTTAAGGATCCTTACCAAAAAAAAAAATCTTATGTTTAAGGATGATATGTTAATGACATAATTCCAATAGATCTCTCTCTTCCACCACCAAAGGATGATCTCTGTCTCTAGAATTGCTCTCTTGCTCACCTTCCACCAACAAAGTTGATCTTGTTGGGAAAAGTTCTGAATACATTGGGAATTTTCCCGAAAGATTGACTAAATCATAGATTGATATGATCATAACATTGAGTTTCCTAATTATTATGGATATAACAAAAAAAGTAAATTTGCAACAAGAAAAATTTATGGATTAATAATTTCAAGCATTCATTTTAACGTTATGGTTATTTGATGAAGATATATATATATATATATATATATATATATATATATATATTTTACCGGTTTTTTCTCTTTCTAACAACACATGAAATTTCAAGCTAAGTCGTGAGATTAAGAAAAGGGATTAGAGGGAGATATCGATTTTCTTCGAGACTCGATAGTGTCATTTTCTATGCATTCGGGTACTTATAATTTTTTTTGATACTTTCATGAAAATGTTCATTTGAAGATCTGAAAATTTATGTTTGAAGATGATATGTTAGTGATATAATTCTAAAAGATCTCTCTCTCATTCGACGACTCTTTATTACGGTTGTTGTGGGGTATTTTCCGCAATGGACGAAAGCCTGACGGAGCAATGCCGCGTAGAGGTAGAAGGCCCACGGGTCGTGAACTTCTTTTCCCGGGGACTAAGCAGGAACAAGAGGGATTCACCGAAGAAGATCCTTCTCCTTCCCTTTTTTTCGGAAGAAAAGGAGGATCCGGACAAAATGGATGAAAGGGAAGAGATCCGGAAGTTGAATCCATTAAAAAGTG